CATGGGAAGAGGTGGTCACGTGGAAAGTGAGTTCACAAAGAAAGAGATGAAATAGGGTAGGCCCTTTTTGACTTTTTGGTTATTGTTTGTTCAATGTGGTCCTGCCATGGAACCCAGGACTGTGAATGTTAGATCTCACGTTAGTATCCAATAGAACTCAAAAGGAAAATTTAAGCAGGGGAGCGCATTTCCCGAGACTGAGGAAAATGCAGGTCAGCCACACTTTCTGGAGTGAGTGTGTCTTCTTCTGACAATTTTTTTTTTTTCTTTTAAATTGGAGAGGCACACACAATGGGCCTGGAGTCAAGTCTGGTGAAAGAAAAATTTTCATAGAGTCCCACCCCATGATTAAGTTCTGCATGAATATCTTAGCAGGTATAGGAGGCAGGGCCAATAGTAGGTCTATTGGGCGGAAGTTCCAGCTGGGCTTAGCAACCTCCTCGTTGGGGGCCATGCAGGACCAAAGCACAAAGGCAGAGTCTTGCAGAAGCAGATCCGTGAGAGACACCAGCTTTGCCTCCAATGGTGCCCAAAAAACTGGCCTGTCCTGCTGTTCTCACACAGCTTCGAGGCAGGATCCATGCGCTATTAAACTGATGTCACAAAAGGGCACTCTGTGTCTTGCTCCAATGGAGAAACACGAGGCAAGTGCCCTCAGTAACCTACATTGGCCTTTGACGGGGTTTCTCTGGTCCAGTCCTCACAGATTCCTACCAAGGCCCTGCCCCCAAGAGTGTTACTGGTCCCCTGGGGAACCCTGGCTCTCCAGGGTTCTCTCTTTCTTCTTTCTTTTGCTCCCCAGGTGCTTTGCTGACAGAGCACCAGTGCCCAGGTCTCCCTCAGGGCCCTGGGAGAAGGCCATGAGGCCCATTCATTCAAGCCTCCTTCCCAGGAGGCCGAGCTGTTGGTCCGATCCGGCAGGCAGGGAGTTGGAAGATCCTTGGGCTCAGATCTGGGCCTCCTTGCCTTCTCCTAGGGCCCTGAGGGAGACAGAGTCGGTTCAAGGATTGTGGCCCGTCCTGCCCAGATGGCAGCCCGAGCCTCTTGCAGCTTGCTCCACAAAAGCCAGATCCTCCCCAACAGCTAGGTCTCCTGGGAAGGAGGCTTCAGTGGAGCACAGTGTTTGCTACCTGTTCCCTCAGGATGGTGGGAGTGCTCCAGCCAAGGCCACCAGCCTGGATCCTGAGTGCTCTTCTCCTGCTCTTCTTTTCTGTACAAGTGCCAGCCAGAGACCAGGGAACATTCACCTTGGGTTTTGCTACCATTGTTGGAGTACATTCTCACTGGTGCCTTTTTCTTTTGCATTGTTTCATTGTTAATAATTTAAAAAAAATTTTTTTTTAGTTGTAGATGGAAACAATACCATCATTTTATTTTTTTATTTATTTTTATGTGGTGCTGAGGATCGAATCCAGTGCCTCACACGTACGAGGCAAGCACTCTGCCACTGAGCCATAATCTCAGTTTAAAAAAATTTTTTTCCTATTATTATTTTGTAGGGGGGAGGCATACCAGGGATTGATCTCAGGAGCACCGGACTACTGAGCGACATCCCCAGCCCTATTTTGTATTGTTTAATTTAGCAACAGGGTCTCACTGAGTTGCTTAGTGCCTTGCAGTTGCTGAGGCTGGCTTTGAAGTTGGGATTCTCCTGTCTCAGCCTCCCCAGCCTCTGGGATTACAGGTCTGCATTACTGCACCAGGTTTAAGTTGTGAACTTTTGAGGTAGGTTGACCAGGAGGACCTCCATCTGTTGGTGTTTTGCTTCAGCCTCCCAGGCCTTTCTTCTGCTTTTGTTTTTAATTTGGAATTAAGTGGAGGCATGAATCCTCACCCTGGCATCATTACTCTGGTTCTTGGGAATTTAATTTGCCCCATGGTACCTTCTCCACTCCCTTATTATTTACTTTGCTTCTCTTTACTTTCCCAGCGGTTCACAGAGCTAACACAAGACCAGATAAATTACAAAGTGTCTTTGACTCTTTTTCTAACACATGTGATGACTTTGAAAAAATATATAGTCATATATGTGTCCTTCAGAGTTGAGAGGTAGATCAGTCATGCATCCTAGGCCTTTTTTTTTTCCATGCTATAAGAATCCTGGAGGGTTACTATTTTGTAAAAAATAAAATTTTGCCAGTTGTCCTGGTGCATGCCCGTGTCCTGGTGGCCAGTATGGCTAAGACAGGAGGAACGCAAATTGCAAAGTTTTGCTACCACATATCGAGACAATTAGTTACCTTAAAAGATCCTGTCCCAAAATAAAAACTCATTAGAAGTTTAAGAAAAGGATTGGGCATGCTGCTCTGTGGTTGAGCATTCGTGGGTTCAATGCCCAATACCAAAGCCAAAAAAGGAATAAAATTTGTTTGGCTCTTGGTTCTGGAGACAGGAATGTCCACGAACATGGCCTGGGGATGTGCATGCCCATTGGTGAGAGTCTTTGGGCTACATCATAATATAGGAAAGGCTATCATGAGGCCAGACAGAGCAGTCCCGCTGAAGAGCTTTGACTCTGATAGCAAAGTCACTCCTGAGCACACCTATTAATCCCTGAATGGCCTGATCTCTGCATGAAGGCAGGGTCCTCATGAGCCACTCACCTCCCACAGGCCCTCCAAATACCATCAACCTGTGATTCAGGGATTCAGGTTTCAACCCAGGAATTCCAGGGGACACACACTGCCCTTTCGGAGATAGGTCATGCTGTCATTTCAATGTTTGTTGGATGCTGTGGTTTCCATCAAAACCACTAAGACACCAGGTCAGGAGTTCATAGCTGTGATCCTATTGAGGAGGAATTTCACCTTTCTCCTTTAGGCTTCAAATGTATAAAACAGAGTTTTAGGAAGGATAACATTCATGAGAGTTCATGTTCCTCAGCTCCTCGATGCTGCGTTAAATAGCAGTCTGCTCTAAATTATGTTAGGAGCATTAATTCAAATTTATTATGGATTTTTTTCCCCTCAAGTGAGATTAATTCTACACCAATGTAGGTATAGATTTAACAATATACATAGAAAGAATCCAAAAGGTTAATGGGTCATCTGGAAGGTTTCCTGCTGATGCTTTTCTTTGTTTTAGCACATGCTCCTTTTGGACTCCTCCTCAAACATCACTCTTTTAATTCACTAAATTTTAGGGCTTTCTGGMCCATACCTATGATCCCAGCAATATGAGAGGCCAAGGCAGGAGGACTGCAAGCTAGTAGGCAGACTCAGCAATGAGTGAGGCCCTTCTGCCTAAGCAAGTTAGGAAGAGCCTGTTTCCCGAGAAAAAATTAAAATTTCAGGGGTAGGGTGGTATGGGGTTTGTTGCTCAGTAGTACAGCAAAAATGCATAAATAAATACTTTCGAGGGGGAAAAAAACTATTTCTTGATGACGTGATTCTGTAAGCCTTTTTTTTCTTTGTGGTGTTTTTTCAGACAGGAAGGGCGGGAGAAGAGCTCTCAGGAAGAGGGCTGGTGGCCATGTCTGCAGCTCTACTGCCATCGTGCGGAAACTGTTTCAGGATACCCAGCTCCATTCAAATCTCCTTCCCAGGAGGCCTAGCTGTTGGTCAGATTGGCAAGCAGGGATTTGGAGGATCCTTAGGCTCAGATCTGGGCCTCCTTGCCTTCTCCTAGGGCCCTGAGGGAGACCTGGGAACTGGCCCTAGAGGTCGGTTCAAGGACTGTGGCCTGTCCTGCCAGTGTCTGGGTCTTTGGCGCTTGGCGGGCGGGTTGCTCATCTCTACCATAGCGGAGTCCATCAGGCCAAGGGGACCTATGCAGGTTGCTGCCGGGTACTTCTCTGATCAGGGAGAAGGAGAGCCACCGCAGCCCATGATAAGCATAGACATGGTGGCCATGCACAGCTGTGGCTACATGCACAGCTCTGGGGGCACTACCTTCTGCCTGCAGCACAGAATCTCCTCTCTGCTTGGGACACATCAGCCCTGGACATCAGTAGCTAAGCAAGAGACAGCTGTCTTGCCTCTGGTTGTCGCCCTGCCAAAACAACTGCCCCCAGCCCCTGCTTCAGGGAATTCAGCTCCTCCCTGCACTGGGCGCCTCAACCCCGGGCGACCTCCCTGCATTGCAATTCCTTAGTGGGTCCCTCCGTTCCAGTCCACACAGCTCCGAATCCAAGCCCCGCCCCACGACTTCCTGTGACACCAGCTCCTGCCCACTGCTAGTCCCCTGGGGTCCCTGGCGCTCCAGCTTCTTTGCTGAGAGCGCGCCAGAGCCCAGGTCTCCCTCAGGACCCCGGGAGAAGGC